GGGGGGTAGGGGTAGGGGGTGAGGGTGGGGTAAAAAAATTAAAAATTGAAGTTGAAATATTTTTTTAAAAAAAAAGCTTTAAATTTATTTTTTTTTCAACAAAAAAATTGTAATTTGAAGTTGGAGAAGTGTTTTGGAAAATGTTTTCCTTAATTTTTGAAGGGAAGTCATTTTCCTTAAATTTGAGGAAAATGAGTTGATTTGGAAAACATTTTACCCAACCAAACATGAGAAAATTGGAAAATGTTTTCCTTCATACCAAACACACCCTAAGAGAGAATCTTTAGAAGGTCGAATTTTCCAATTTGAGCCATTAGCCAAAGTAAAAATTATCGCCATCTTTGTATTTTTATATTAACTAGTTTCTGGACACGTGTGTTCACGTGTATCTCATGCAATATGTTATAAATTCGTTAGGATGATTAAAATTCAATGAAACATGCATGTAATGAGTACTAAAATGCAACATAAATGTTATCATAATTAAAAAAAATTATAGAAAATTGAATTAAAGAAAACTAATAGAGAAATATAAAAAAATAAACATAGAAGAAAAAAATAACATACGCACCTTAAGACTTTAATCATAACATTATATAAATGAAAAAAGAAATACAAAATCGGTACATAATTTTCCAAGTTTTTGTCGACACCTTTTATCATATCCAATCAAAATTTAAAAGTCTTCTCTATCGAGTTAAACTAAAGCATGAATCAAATAGAAAAATCACTTTATTTTTGTAAAGTGATATATAATCAAACTAAGGTAGATATATCATATACTTTAGATGTTGATGGCTTCACTACTCTAACAATAAAATGAAAAAGCTACAGAGCGTGATCCGGATTTAGTCGGAGCTCCAATGTAGGCTCTGCACACTGGGTGGGAAACCAAAAAAAAGAAAAAGATAATTTTGGATGTGAGTTTCATGAAACAAAAAAGATGAACTTATATAGATAAAAACAGAGGAATACCAAAAGACATCTTAAAGTTTTAAATTAAATATTTGAAGGTTTCAAAGGGTCAAAATAGATAAAAGAGAACAACTTTAAGAATATTAAATATATGCAATAAACCTCCATTAAATTCTGGAAGAGTAAACAATCCTCTTTTGAGCACATGAACTCTCCATTTATTCAATGTAGTATTGATTATCACTAATATTCAAACATGTAATTAACTAAATATTTATAATATTTTAATTTAGTGTAGGGGGTAAAATGGTATTTCAACTTTTAATTTTTTTTGTTCTCACTTTTAGTAATACTAGTTTTGGCGCACGTGCATTGCACGTGAATATCAAACCACGTACTACACTATTTTTAAAAATAATGTCAATATTATTTAATAAAAAAGTTAAATTAAGACTGATAAATAGAAAATGATGAAGTATAAGTTCTTATGAATAGTGGATGTAAACTTTTTCTTGATTACTACTAAAAGTTGTAAAATCAACATCCGAAAAAACACTTATAACTATTTATAGTATAAAGGTAGATATAGATAAAGTGATCTGACACTTCTCTATTGCCATCAATTAAATTTATCTTTTTTTTTTCTTTTTTTTCTCATTATAAAATTAATTTTAATATGTATAAATAAATAAAAAGTCACTCTAAAAATATCTTAGTTACACCTTTTAAATATACTTCATCCTCCCTCCCATATAGTGCATTACTTAGTTATTATTGTATTGTTAGAGTTCTTACTTTTTACATAATATAAATAAATATTGATATATAACATGGAAGATATACTAAATTGGAAGTTTTAGTTGGAGTATTATACTAATATAACATTCATGTTAGGGAGTGTTCAAATTCCATGTAAGATTCTCAACATGTATAAATCACACATGAGTATTTAAGAAGAGAAGAAAAGAAAATAATAAAAAATTGTATTTTAAAAACAAGAGGAAACTCCTCCATTTAAATTTAACAAATGGTAGTATGTGCATGTGCTTATTATGCCTAGCATAAAAGTCACAATCATTCAGAAAAGTCACAACCCTTCAGAAAGGTCACAAATCATCGAAAAAGTCACTACTCTTTGAAAAAGTCGTAAGGATTAAATGTGAAGAGGCATTATTTTAATATAATATAAATAAATAAATATAATATAAAATATAGAAGATATACTAAATTGGATGTTTAAAGAAGAAGAAGAAGAAGAAGAACAATAGAAAACTTTAAAAAATTGTAGTTTAAAAATGCAAGGAAACCCCTCCTTTTATAGCCAACAAATGAAAGTGTATGAAAAAAATGTTTATTGTGCCTAATAAAAAAAGTCATAATCCTTTAGAAATGTCACAACCCTCCAAAAAGATATACTTAATTTGGTGTTTTAAATTTGGGGTGGGGGTGGGGAGGAGGGGAGAGAGATAAATGTAGATTTGTCTAATTTTAATTTGAAATGAATTTTTTAAAAATAAAGAAGACTTTTAATATGAGGATATGTAGAATATATAAAAATGTCTTTTAACTTTATAGTCTTAAACATGCCCCCAAAAAAAGAACATTTTATTTTAAATTGAATAAAAATTAAAGTACAACAAATAATTTCAAAACGAGGAGTAATTATTAAATCTAATTTGAACTCTTCATACAAGTTTTT